ACCTTCAGCTCACCGCGCTGGAGTAGTGGAGTAGACCTGAGGCCTTTTGCCTCTAGAGTTGGCAGAGACTCGGATAGACACTCAGTGTTTGCGGAGTCTTTCGTGGTGAAGACTGCAGTCTTTTTGGAATCTTTGCAGAGTCTTTAGTCATCATTGTAGCATTATTGCTTCATTCTTGCTTCATTCTTGCTTCATTCTTGATTCATTATTGATTCATTATTGAATCATTATTGAAACATTATCAATTGTTTCAATGGTGAAAAATCGCTTTTGTGATGCAAAACGCCGCGGAAACAGCTCTGCACAGTGAGATACAACACTCGAAACGTTCTAACATCCATTTTTGACTGCATTTTCGCGGTAAAAAGACAGGATTCATTTCGACCTTGCAAAGTCGGCTTTCCGACCTTGCTCAAAAAAGCTCTCTTTTACGGCAAAACGAACCCCAAGAACACGGCTTCGAAAAATCTCGGAACGTCGAAGAGGCCGTTTTCGATGATTGTCACGTTTTTCGGGCTTACGGAACCCCCCCATAACCCGCCGAAAAATCTCAGAACGTCGAAGAGGCTGTTTTTGGCCACAAAACGCGTGAAAAGTTTAATGTGTGGGCATAATACCCCCTATCCTGTGCCCAGCCACACCCGCGCTCCTTCTTGCGACTTCGTCGCGGAACGCTTTGTATTTTTTGAGTTTAGATGCCAAAAGGAGCGGCTTGAATGACTGTTTAAGCTTGAAGCAGTTTGGTTGTGAACAAACCTTTGATAGGTACTGTTCAAGAGGGGCGCTTACAATCTTGTGTTCTCTCGCTTGAAGCTTGACGGCCATTCCTGGTTGCGGGCGGTCAGGTATATTATTTGTTGGGCTGCTGTGGCATCGAAATTTCTTTTGCAGGCATCAAGGCCCCACCAGTCTTTACACGCCAATAACCCTCATGTTTAGATCTTTTTCGCTTCTGCACTTTGGTTGTATGGTCGACGGCTTAAGGGCTTGTCGCTGGAATTTAGTCAAACCCTCGACCCTAAATCTCTCACTCAACCTCCATGGGCCCCGCCCTAAAGCTCGATCCTGCACCGGAAGCCCTTACAAAGATCCATGCAGGCCTTGATGGAGTCGTTGGCCTGATTAGGCTCGCTCATCATTTGTTCAGATCCAGAGTGGTCTTGTACAACATTCAACACGGAGACCGACGATTTTTCTTAGACTGTTTAACACAAGAGGCCTGGGCTCAAGCCCCGACAGCAATGTTCGGCGAGAAACTTAAGAAGTGTTGTCCCAAGGCTTATCAAGTGTTCGATGGAAATTTTGGGATTGCAATTTTATGCTGACGAATTGGTCAGATGCTTCGCTGATGTTGTCTTCCTCATCAGAATGTGTGTCGCCAGACAACAGGTTTCACAGATGGCACAGGAACGTTGTTAGATTTCGTTTGGTACGGTAATGGAAGATAGCACGCAGGACAACAACCCAACTGGCTCAAGCTGGCTTTGTTCGAGTTATTGAATTTTTTGGTTTGCCCATTGCTCAAGCCAAGCTTTGCAATGGAAGAGAGCGTCATGGAAGAACGGGTGGAGCAGGACATTGCAATATGGACGTGTCAAGGTCAACGTCCGTGCAATTCTGCGTGCCCGACTTTTCTGTGAAGCATCTGTTCGCATCATGTTCATTTTGTCAGTGGTGAAGCATCGTAGGACTTGTGTGAAACACTCCTATGGTCAAGCGCAGAGCTCGCTAGGGTGATATCAAAGGCGGATGGTATGTGCGTGAGCTTCACATCTACTTAGCGTGACACTCGACAACCTTTCGATTGGATTCTGCACAGTTTTTTGCCTGCGTGGTTACATATTGTTGTTTTCGTTTCGTGCATTCTGTGTCGAGAGCGACTTAGTCCAATTACGCGACTCTTTCGAGATTCTCAGATTGCTCCCTGTAGCTCTTACAATGTAGGGACGTGGCCCGTACTTGTTCCGGACTCCCGAAGCCGGCACCTGGTCCAGAGCCCGAAATCGCGCTTTGACATTTCGGACTCGTTTCAAGTTGGAGCCCTCGAGCAAAATCACCCGCTGCCCTGGGAGCCCTGACGAGGACACGGTCGTCTGTGAAAAGACTGAACAGTTGGGCGCCAGTTCCGATGCTGATGGTCGCTTGCACTTGCGAGCGAGGTGTCATGAGTGTGGAGATTGAATCTGTGGATCTTGGACTTTTTTCTCGTCTCGAGGTTTCGGTTTGGGTTAGCTGGGTTGCCAGGCATTTGGATGCAGTGTTTAGATGTGGGGTCTACCCCTCCTGAGAGCTCGTGGCCTGAGCCATGTCATGCCGTGGTAACGGGAATGGTTGTGCAGCTGTGCAGAGATGGTCCTTTTGTTTGGGAAGAGTTGCGCAACTGCGTACCCTCCACTGTCGCTTCAAACAACGAGGCTTTAGCAACACCACCCCTGGGAACGACGAGAACGAGGATGCGTTCGGGGAGAAGATGGAGCCGCTGAAATTGCTTCTTGGCCTCTATGCAGTTTACGTCCTTTGCCGTGCGGTTGAAGGAGAATTGTGTGGGCTCAGAGTTCAGGCCGATCAGGAAACTCCCTCAAAGGTGGCTTGAGTTGTCGCTCAGGCCGGGCCACGACGTTCAGATCCTCAGGTCCTCCTGGCACCAGCTGATGCAACTTGGCCTCTGGCCGCAGCATTGTGGTGTTCGGGAAGATCGAGACCAGAGCGGCCGAAAAGAGCATGACTGTTGTTCCGTCGCAGAGCGATGGAACAAGGTGCCAGGATCGGAAACGCATCAAAGGACGTGCATGTCTCGCCCCGAGGGATGCCGTCGGCCACGATCGAGAACAGCTGGGCGACGTCCTGTGCCTTGGCGAGTGGAAACTGCAATCACCTAGAAATCACTCAGAGACCCGACGGTCCCAGCCAGGTACGTTGGGCTCACCGGCTCCCTAGCCGTGCTGAAGGAGAGAATGGGTGCTGCTTTCATGTGCTTCTCGATCCCAGACTTCAGGAGTTTAGAATTGTTTGGGGCCTTGAGGGCTTTGTTTTCAATTCCGAGTTTTTTCGCTTTTTGCACCTTAGAGAGCCCGAGTCTCGTTGTGGACTTGCAGGATAAGTTCATCACGCCTCGAGCGGTGATGTCTCTGCGGCTTTTCAATGGATTTCGAGTGGTGGTGGAGAAGGCGGATGACCCGGCCGCGTTGCTGAACTTCACTGTGCCTTGGACTTTCTTGGCTCTCCGTCCTTTTTCCTAGGACATCCTCGTCTCCCCCTGAAAGCACAGGAGACCTTAGCCTTCAAGCGACTCGGCTGCACCTGGGGTTGGGTCTCGGAAGAAGCCCCTCTGGCGTACCCACCTGCGAACCTCGCCAATGTTCGCTACTCGCCACTAGTGGCACTGTGGGCTTCGTACATCCCGATTTGATTTGGAGACGCAGACTGGAAGATCAGGATTTGGCCTGGAGAGGCTAGCAGATTCCGCTGCCCAGGCATCTGTCGTACGAAGTGACGCAGGTTCGTGCCGGCCTGGTTGCCGCTGCTGGGCCAGAAGTTCAGCAATCCCAACACTTCAAGTCCTAACAATGCGATGCGTGCCGCATGCCCGTCAAACTATGAGAAGAGTCGTCAAGGTTCTTCTACCATAATTGTCAAATGCGGAAGTAGAGCCCAATCAACCCCGGAGTGAACACCCGGTGTGGCATGGTCTGCGTCAAAGCCCACTATTGCTAGCCGTGAGATGGGTTGCGGGCGTGTCTTGTACTTGTTGTGTTTCCAAAGAGTTTCGGCAGCGTGCAAAAGGCAGTGCCCCGCCTGGAACCCAGGACACGTTTCTAGAGGTGCTAACGCAGAACGTGACCGAGGCCGCTGAAATGGGTTCGCGGGTGTCGGTGGTGCACTGGACATGGCTGTGATTGTCTTTATCCGGTTGCTGTTGGTTCAGTTGGCCACGGGCTTCATGAACATTCCGTATATTTTCTGATATTTAGCTTCCTCACAGAAAGTAGCAACTGGTATGCGCCTGATTGTGCCTCCAACGTGCGTGCGTTGCAGGATGCGCCTGTCTGCTGTGCAAACTGTAGCCGGGCTGCGGCCGTGAAAGTTGTCGATGCTGCGTTTTTTGCTCGGAACTTTTGCCGAAGTGAGACTTGTTTTCAGATATGGGACAGTTTTCCTGCAACGTTACATCAGTAAATATCGGTGGTCCATGTGTCTGGTGTAAAGCACAGTGGGGCTAGACCGGAGCTGCCACCGGAAGCACCACGATGAATCTGGTGACGAGAACCGTGCCGTACTGAACCTGCTACTCGCCACTGCAGAGTTGTGGACACGAGGGCAGCTGCAATAAACCGGAACAAGCAGGCAGAAGGGGCTGCCGATGAGGGTGGAGTGGCAGGATGACTGCGAAACAGCTGGAGGACCAGCAAAACGCAGAACGCAAACCTGATCCAGAAGCATGAGGACACAATGAAGACGGACGGTTCTCGTCGGACCTGTCGCTGTCCCAAGACAGCATCTTGCCAAACACGAGCCCTGGATCCACAGCACAAACCTTCAGTTCTACCGTGCCAAGCTTCGGAGTCCCTGCAGGAGTTGCCACAAGGCGCCGGCGCAGTGTGGCGGCAGATCCTTATGTTCCCGAGCTGCAGGGAGCCTGGAGCTCTGGAGCACGAGTTGGGGTCGGGAGGGGTCCGCGATTATCCAGCTCTGTCACTCTGTGTCTCTCAAGAAACCCACTCGCCACCTGCCGGAAGACTCTAAACTTGTCACAAGGAGCCAGCACAGATGAAGAGATCTTGTAGCACTTGAAGTTCCTCAACTACAATGTCTCAGTCGAGTCTGGTTTGCCTAAGGCTAGACTCCAGTTCTGCACCTTGCAGCTGTTCATGGATTCATGTGACTAAGTTGAGGTATGTCGGGAGCGCTTTTCGATACGTGAAGCAAACCTATGGCAAGCGCTTGTCCGTGATTCAGGCTGCGTGATACTCTGAACTCTGAGGGCTTCCACAACGTTCAGCGGTCCAATTCACAAGCAGTTCATGTTCTTGAGCCATCTCAACCTGAAGCCCCGGAACCGTTGGCACATTGACTTCGATTCGAGTGCGAAGGCATCAGCCTTCGGACGTTCAGACGGAAGCTGAGAGTGCGGGCTAGTGAAGTGTTGGTGTTGCCAGCGAGCCTCCGCTTCGTTGTGTTTACTCCTTTGTCGTTTACCCCTTTGTCGACGGTGTAGATCGGGTGGCTTTGCATGGTATCGCCAAGCTGTATTTCTGCGTTGTTCCCTGGCTTGTGCTGCAGTTTAACACACGATGAAGCTGACCGACCTTGTCATGCACTCATTTGTGCAGCTTCTTCTGAGATTTCTGAGCTGTAGAATGAGATGTCAGTGTATATATCGTTTCCCACCAAATCCGCACATGCAAATGAATGTACTTGTAAGCTCTCGCCGCCAGACTGACTGGGACAACATCCAGAATGCTGCAAATGCTGAAGATGAGGAGAGTGAGGCAGGGTTCGTTAGCTTCGTTGTCTCTTCACACAGCGTTTATGCAAGTGCCATCTGCGACCGAAATTTGATGAGCTCTACCCGCCCCCTGCTTCCTTCTTCAGAGCAGGTGGTGCGGAGTTTTCCCAAGATGTGTGCCTTCTCCAACGAAGTGATGGGCCAGCCAACCGAAGGCAGGGGTTTCGGAACGGCAGTTCTTGAGGATGCAGCCCTTTTCGCGGTTTCCCAGCCGCTCGGAACCGGACCTGGCGGCTCCTGGTAGGTTGGATGGAAGAGCTCCTGGCGGTTTTCAGCGCGCCTTGGGCGGAAAGAGGGGTGCGACCGAACCGGCGGAGTTTGGGACTAGGGCTTAGGAAGAGGTGAGGGAGAGTTGCCGGACCAGTGTGCCCTGCAGTAGTAAAGTAGTAGCTTAGAAGCCCTTGGCTTCGATGTTGAACTCCTACAATTGAAAAGCTCGACATGCAAAATCTAAACCCTGATGGAGCCCTCGGATGCCCGTCCTTCTGTGGTGCGGGACATGGTCAGACCGACTCCAGACCAGCAGACCCCAAAGCCTTTGCAACTGAAGTCGAAGCGAATGTCGAATCCGAATCCACACCATGTGACAGGTGCTTGTGGAGCGGGTGGGGAATCCGTCCCACCTCGTCGAGGAGTGCGACCTGCTTTCGCTGGCGATGGTGGCGAGGTCGGAGGCTCGCGGGCCAGAGTCCAAGCATCCTCACCAAAAAACTGTCGACCCCTGATGAGGGCTTCGGCCAACGTTGGACTTTGCTTTGGAAGCGCGATAGCTTAGAGTGCACAGGCTGCGTGAGATTCCCACGGCCACTCACCCAACACGATTGAAGCCTTGGGGCCTTGCAAGTCTTCTCTTGAGGACATCAAGTTCGAGAGGTTCAAACCTGTCATGCTCGCGGCCTTGCGATCTCTGCTTCCGTCGCCGGCTGCAGTTCATCGTAGGTGTAGTTGGCGCTCCAGCTCGGAGATTGGGGTTTCATTGACTTGCAGCAAAAAGAAGCAAGCATTGCCTGTGGCTCTAGGCAGACGTGGAGCACGGCGCACGAGGAAGCCTGGGAATGGCTCTGGGCCACCATCTCCAGGAACCTGACGGAGTCCACGATGAAGGCAGCCTGAGATGTTCGGATTGCAAGAATCTTAGCATGGAGGATGGAAGAGCTGGATTGAATCTGATGCTTTGGTGGATCGTGTTTATCTCAGTGGCATTTGAAGCTTAAGCTTTTTCTCACCTGTGTGTGGTGCAGCGCTTCAGTTTCATCTTGAGCTTACATCCGCTGCGTCATCAGAACCCGGCACAGGTGCGTGCATTTAAACCGTACAACACGAAGCTGTATGCCGCCATGACGGACGAGTGCCTGGAATGCAACAGTCGTCTTGTTTCGGCTCCGTGGTTGGCGGATAGCGACTTTCAAATGTCAACCCTTTGGCTTTCATAGGTGTAGCCCAGACCTAGACTGGCAATGCGATATATGATGATATGTCGCAAGAATCTCAAACATACAAACGATGTGCTTCTTCCCTTGGTGTTTTACAATGGGAAGTGCCTGTTTGTGCCTGCTGACCTGAGAAGCTTTGACATCAGCTCCAGGCACAAGGAAACCTTCCGCACGACAGTGTACACAAAATTCTTCGCCAAGTGCGTCGCCAGTCAAGACCTCTTCAAGCAGTTCCTTGGCACGAACTGCAAGTGCAGAGCGACGTTCTTGGGGCTTCGGGTGGTGACCTGGGAAAGCTGGAGGTGCAGAGCTTATGATGTTCCGACTCCCGAACTTCCAATTCCCAAATCCAGAGGCTTAAGAATTCGCTCAAGTTGTCCGGATGCGAACTTTGGACCAGAATCTACATTCCCTTGCAGCTGAACCGCGTCTGAAGATGTCTGAAGTGTGCACCAAAGAAACCCCGCAAAATCCCAGGTCGCAGACGAGGCTCCGCTACATCGCAGACAGGGTCATGGCGGCTGCATACGATATGATGCAGCGATCCTCAACAGCAGTGAGCGGGAGGTAGAGTCTGGACACTGATTTGGATTCATGGAATTCGAGTCTGCTAGCTGCTAGTTGTACCTGCTGGTTTCCGGGTTTCTGAATCGAGGGTACCCGAAGTTTTCTCGAGTTTCCCACTTTCCCGACGGCAGCCATTATCCTGAAATGCACTTGCAGGGGACACCAGCGAGATGGTGGACGACCTCTCTGCACTGGGCCTGCGCCACGTAGGCATGGGCCGGCCCTTCCTTTTCTTTCGGGGCAAGTGGGCCCTGGCCGTGCGCAGGATATGGGGTGCCGATCGACCTCTTCGGACCCTTCACAGACACCTGTGTGGAAGTCATCAAGCCCATCGTTCTTGAGCTACCGAACAGTGCGGGCACCTTAGAGTCTTCATCCTGTAAACCTCAAGCAAAAGCGGTCTAGTGCTAGGCTGCTAGTCTCTTGCTTCACAAGGGTCTGCATGTAATCACGTAGTAGTGACATAACCAAGGACATTGTGGGACGGTGGGCGTCTGTTTACTCCGGTCTCCGACCCAATCCAAACCACCGCCTAGGAGCCTGAAGTCTTGAGCCCTCAAACGTCGACCCAATGACATACCTGGGCGGCGACCCTGAGCTTTGACAAGGTCAGCTCAAAGAAGGACATGCTCTGCCCAGCGGACAGAGCTCACTACCTACCAGTGCCCAGACTGCACAAGATCGTGCACAGCCTGGGGATTTTGTGTTCAGCATCATGCCTTTGTGAGAAAGGGCATCGGGGCCCAGGAGAGGGCGAGGAGGTGAGAAAGACGAGGAAGAAACCGTGAGGTCGGGTGAACAAAATCCAGTGACATGTGCAGCTGACATCTCAGGAATGTGAACTGCAGCAACATATGATGATCGAGGGATTCCGCTGGTCGATTGGCTCCCTGGATCATGTTTGGACCGAGCCCCCGCTTCTAGGCTTCCTGAAGCTTCTGTCCCAATCAGTCCAAGCCTGAAGAACTCGGCGCTGCGCAAGGGCTGGTGGCGCGGATTTTGATGCGAACCATCACGGAGGGCTCCACAGCCGTGATGCAGCCTGGGCCGCCGTGTGATCTAGGGTATTGCTGTAGCGTAGGCGCATGTAGGCGCAGGGTTCAGGCTTCGCCAACCCGGTAAAGGGGTCGCTTAGCCAACTTTTTTTCTGGTCGCTTAGCATGCTCCATTTTGGGTCGCTTGGCACGCTCATTTTCAC